AGAGAGAGAGAGAGAGAGAGAGAGAGAGAGAGAGAGAGAGAGAGAGAGAGAGAGAGACCGTGGTTCCAGCTTCCTCAAGGACGGCCACCTGCCCCAACCCAGTTGGTGGCTGCTGGGAGAATGGGACAAAGGACCACGTTCGTTTGTTCATCTTTTTAGTTGTTTTTGGTTTCCTCTCGTTTTTTTCTTGTTTCTGACGCATTCCTGGGAAAATTCTTGTTTTCATACAGCCTCCTTTTCAACCACTAACAGCTGCGCACCGCCTGCTGACGAATCCGCTCCCACTCAACCCCAACCCTCTTCCGACCCTGGGTGGACCCTCCGCTAGGCCTTAGTGCATGGTGGAGGCAAAGAAAAAAGGCTTTCTTGACGCTTGGCGGACCCTCCGCTTGGCCTCAGTGCATGGTGGACGCAAAGAAAAAAGGCTCTCTCGACCCTTGGCGGACCCACCGCTAGGCCTCAGTGCATGGTGGAGGCAAAAAAAAAAGGATGGCACGGGCTGGGGTTCAACAGTTACATGTGTGTACCATTCAGCCACATTGGCTGGGTGCAGCGGAGCGGTTGTGTTCTTGGGCTTGGGTTCTTAAGCTTTGGTGCTCTCTGGCTTGGGTTCTTGAGCTTTGGTGCTCTCTGGCTTGGGTTCTTGAGCTTTGGTGTTCTCAGCTTCTCAGAGTGTACCTGGAAGAGGACAGATGCAGCAGCATAATAGAGCGGCAAGCTGCACTATCTTTTCCTGTGTCATTTTCGTTTGGGACGGACGCTGTTGCCCAGTGAAGCCACCCATTTGATGAACATAGTTGGGAAGTGGCGACAGGTTTGGATGGCCTGCAGGCCTCTCTCCCTACTCTAGACTGATGTGAGAACGAAAAAACTCCTTGGCATAGAAGAAAATAAAGGAACTCCTCGATGCTTCTGTTTTGACTGCTTCATTGTTGGTAAGTGGATTCCACTCGTTTGCTCTGTTGATACTTGTTCGCCCGCTCTACTCAGGACATACTCGTGCAATTATTTTAGACTGAGTTCTGGGCGTAATTGTGGTCAGATACATTAAGTTTGGCTGTAATTGCATTCACATACATCCAGGAAAGTCTGCTGTGAGTATGCCATGCCCGCGTAGTACTTTCAGGCTTCAGCTTGATTAATTATGAAGTGTTTTTCTCGCTTGGTGGACTTTGATTATGCGGATTATCTTTTGGATTTATTGCTCATTAAGCTGTTTTTCCTTTTGCTGGACTTTTGGTTGTGTGGATGGGGAGGTGAGGAAGACCGGTCTTAATTGGTGGTGATGGTGGACATCGCCCATGGGGTCTTTATTGGTGCGGCATGGGTTGCTCAATCTCAGGCGGTTTTTATCCCTCCCTTCTTCAGACTGGTATGAAGTGGCAGAATCATGGTTCTGTGGCGCATGCTGTGGTGGGGGAGACAAGGCGATGACCATGGCTATGCAGCTGCGTTCCCGGCTGGCCCCTACTCCAGGCATTTGCCTCGTGGGGAGGAGAGCATGTGTGCTTCATATGGATGATGTAGTTGAGCAGCTAGCTGATAACGCAATGGATGGATTGATGGAAAATCAAGAGCAAGAAGGTCATGCCACACATGAGCATCACTGTAAGATTGAGAATAGGGCAGCGTACTCAAAATTTGCATGCCAAGGGGCTGTGGGGGAGAGGGGTTTGTTGGTTGTGCCTTCTTTGAGTGCTTCCAAGAGCAGGGGGGCTCCAACAGAGGCAGGTGAGGAGCAAGAAGCAGGACTTGTTGTGCTGCGGGGTCAGGCTTTATGCTCAGAAGGTTCCCGAACTGATCCTTATTCTTGCAATGAGATTGAGACTGGGTGCATGGATGGAAAGAACGCATCCCAAGTGGATGTCCAGAAGGAAGAGCTATCCCATGTGTGTGGCGGGCGACTGCTTGGTGATGAAGGAGCTGGTGAATGTACCAGATTGGACGGTTTTGCGCTCACCTGTGAGGGGGTGGACAAGACAAATGATTCCACATCCACTCGCCCGCGAGTGGATAATGCAAGTACCACATTGAATGGTTCAGAATTCAGCCGTGACGGTGTGGATGAGATCAGGAAGTGGGGCTGCCATGGGGAATGTTGTGTCGCTGAAGAGGTGGAGAACGTCTCTCCCATCCATGTTGAGTCTCAAGCAGTCGATGACACAGGTTCTGTGGAGGCGTTACATGATGATGGAGCGGATGATGGTTGTGCAAGCTGCACTGAAAAGCATAAGGCTGGGAGTTGTCGATTGAGAAGTGACATAGAAGGAGGGACAGAATGCGAGGAAGGGGGGAGTCCATTGTCGGATGATCTTGGAAACTGGTGGCGAGAAAGCGGGCATGTTTGCAGAGTCGTGCGATGTTGGGGATGTCACAAGGTTATTGGCACCTACAGTCATAAAAAAGGACCCAAAGGGCTTGAGGTATTGAAGCACAGAGTAACAACAGAGGTGGAGTCAAGGGGTGACAGATGTGTCTTCAGGTTCGCCAACTCATTCTCATTCCCATGTTTCTTGTGTGTGCAAACCATAGTGTTTCTCTTCTGGCTCAGCTCTTTTCTCATCCCCTGCTCTCTCATTTCATACACACTCGCAAATTAGCATTAGTTCCAACTCTCGAAAACCACAAGAACTGGATTCTCTGCTTCATATACCCCATCAGTAAGAAGGAAAATACACATCAAAGCTAGCTAACACATGCAGAGCAGAAGCAGTTTTCAAAGCCAACAACCTAAGACAAGTAAGAGTTGTTGATGGAGAGTCAAAATATGCCTTTCAGGCCACACGGGCTGCTCATCAACTGGAAGTGGACCCTAATGTCTCCTTATTGGACTTGGTTGATAATGCAGATGGCACACATTGGAGTCCATCTTTGCTGCTGAGGCAGCAGCCATGTCCGCAGAACATGGGTGCTATCGATTCGCCGTCTGGGCTTTTCCAGAAAATGGAAAGAAACAATTTGTGATTCTTCAGATTGTCGTTCTGAATGCAGAGGCATGGATTTCCACTGGGAAGTCTGCTGAGCCAGAGACGACCAAGGAGCTGTCTCTGTGCACGGAGGACAACAAGGAGGCATGTGAATTGGTGCCGGTCATGAAGTTGATGTATCGGGACTGTTTGAATCTGGCCGACGATGAAAGAAGGTAACGTCTTCTTGAGGGCATACTCAGACTCGGACTTTCTGGGATGTATCTGACTGCAAAGGCTGGCAGATTTTGTCTAGAAAGTACAGGTCTGAGATCCTCCTACTCATCATCTGCACTGTGGTTGTTTGGTTGGTTGACTGGTTGGTGCGATGATTTCTGAGCGGATGTGGCTGTGGGCATGTTGCAATTTTCTCTCAACAACATCTTGTCCTCCCGTGTACAGTAAGCCCTTTTGCTAACTCTTACACTCCCTTACTGTTTTCCCACTTTGTGTCTTAATGTTCTGCGTCAAACCACCAGTTCCCCTTAGCCTGTGTTTCTAAACCGGCCTCACCAGGCTGCACTGGCAGTAGTACGATAAATTTTGCGAATGTATGTGAAATGAACCCAGAACCCCATGTTTGATGGGATCAGACCAAGGGAAGAACCATGCTTAACAATGGAAGAATAGAAGAAAAGAATGAAGGAAAAGTTATGTACAGAGGAAAAGAATGAGGAAAAAGTTATGCTTAACAATAGAAGAATAGAAGAATAGAAAAAAAGAATGAAGGAAAAGTTATGTATAGAGGAAAAGAATGAAGAAAAAGTAATGTATTTGATGTGAGAAGAGAGGGCTTGTTATTAGAAAGTTGTGTATAGAGGAAAAGAATGAAGAAAAAGTACTGTATTAGATGTGAGAAGAGAGAGCGTGCTATTAGAGAAATACCGAAAATGGGAAGGTAGGAGCAGCCATTAGTAGGCCAAAAATTACTGATGAGGGAGAGAGTGCAGATGATTCAATGCTAACACACACCTCATAGCTCGGTGATTCTCGAGCTTCGTCAACATAAGAATGGTCTCCTCTTTGAACCCTTACTCACGAGGGCTTTGCATCCCAGGGCGCTTATTCCCATCTGTCCTGGGGCTAGCTCTCCCAAGGCTCTTTGTCTTCTCTCATAACTTGAGAATGCATCCAGATGGACGATAACAGGGAGAGGTGATGTGTCTGTCTGGTTTGCTGGGGTGATGGTTCTCATTGAGTTTCGTACTCAAATAGCTGCTGTACCAATTGTTTGTATTCAAAGCGGAGGCGAATAGAATTGTTGTCTGTTTGAGATCAGAGCAAGGAAAACCATGATGGAGGTTCTTGTAGAGTTATCTTCCCATTTCATTCCTTGGTCGTGTGCTCTCCGTGCTGCACGAACAGTCTGCATCGAAAGAGGAGTTTGTTGGTGTTGTCCATTGTCGGCGAGCTTCAGCTGGAGCGGCCGGAGGAGTCCTGAGCTTGGAGAAGTCGCAGAGCTTTGGGAATGATATCAGTCCTATAGATAGGGAAAGGAGGAAGTTCGGACTGCATTCCACGATGATAGACAGCAATGAATTGAACATGTCGTGGATAAGGGCAGTGGCACGTGCACATCCCCAAGGTGCAAGGGGGCGCCACCAGTCAGGATCTGTTTCGCGTGTGGGAAGAAGAAGGGGTGGTGGCGTGGGTTGTGCTGAACTGATGAACGCGTACTTGTGGTGTGCATCGAGAATGCGGTCGTGTCTACATTTCAGCAGGCCAGCATGAGAACCTGTGGTGTGGTAGTGGTCATGTTGGAGGAGTTGCAGTAGAAATGTTTTGGATTGTGTGAATCTGGTTGTGACGGAGGGGCTGGGCGGAGGTCGATTAAGCTCTTGCTCTCGGTTGCACTTGTATGTGGCGAAGAAGGTGTAGAGAGAGGGGGAGAAAGCAGCATGGTCTGTGAGGAGGAAATCTTCCCATGAAATTTGGTCCATTATATGTTCAATGGTGTCAGTGCGAAGGACATGATGCCAACCATTCCATTTTGCGTAGTCATCAGTGCTGACTTCAGAGGTGTAGCGTGATTGATAGTGAGGTTGTGGTTTAGGGATATCAAGTTAGCTAAGCGCAAGTTCGTATAGACCGTGGTGTTCGACAACAGAGGGATCTGATAATAGTGATGAAGGAGGTGCAGTGGTTTGCTGAGATGGAGAAGATTGTGTTGTGTCGGGGGGAGGAGTTGGTGTAGTAGTAGGTGTTGTATGTATGGTGGGGGAAGGTTGGGAGGATGTATTTGTTGGTGGGGTAGAAGTGGGAGGTGTAGAGTCGGAGGATGAAGTTTGAGTTTTTTGGGAGTTGTTGGTGTCGTTGGAGGACCTGCACAGAGGACAACGAAACGCATGGAATTATGTGAGCAATCCAAAAAACAGAAGGTGAGGTGGAGCATCTTAATGGACAGATCATGCAAGAATTTCTTTGTACACAATATTTGTTGTTTGATTAAGTTCAATTGGGAGGGCAAATCGAATGTGAGAGGGATCACCAGCACGGGATGCGGCAACGTAAAGTTGGCCGTGGGCAAAGGCCGGTTGGCAAAGGTCGATGCCCGCGTGTTTGATGGACTGTCCTTGGGATTTGTTTATTGTAATTGCAAAGGCTGGACGGACAGGAAATTGTCGTCTTTGCCATGGAAAAGGACTTGTTTGATCTGTGATTGAAAGCAGGATTCGCGAGGAGAGAGCGGGTTTGAGTGATGGCAAGATGCGTGCATGCGGCAAGTGGTTGTTGGTTATAAAGTCGAGAATCAGCCGCGTGCCATTGCAAAGACAATTGCTCATTGCTATGTTGCGTAAAAGGATGATTGGAGCATCTTTCTTTAGATCGAGAATATGTGGTGGTAGTGAAGGCAGATCCAGAGTATTAAGAGTGTCAACAGAGATGTCAGGGTACATTTCGTTTGGAAGGAGTGTGTCAGCACTGAGGGATGTGGTAGGAGAGCCAGGAAATTGGCCGAGATTAATTACATCGACTGAAAGTTGCTGCACGAACAAGGCAGATGTGTGAACGCGTGCATTGTTGATTCGTGCTTGGATATTCTTAATGTGTCTTTGTCTGAAACGTCTTTGCCGTTCTCTTGCTGCGGATCGTGTTCTTTTGACGGCAGCCCGATAACTTTTGGGTAACGTTGGGAGGAGAAAGCACAAAATATCGTTGTGTAGAGAGCAGGAAGGAACAGGGAGGAAGAAGCATGGAACATACAAAACATGAAGACAGAAATGAAAATGAATCGTTAGTTCAAGCACATTCTTCGTGTACTTTTCTTTCTTCGGGTAAAAGGGGCAAATATGAAGTACAAAGGAATTGCAATTCTCTTCAAGAAATAAAATAAATGAAAATGCATTTCAACCGAAAAAGAGATATATGCGAGGATTAGGGTCCTCGGTAGGCCATGGGGCCCTGTTTGCAGCCTTACCCGCCCTAAGTGAAGGTGGAGGTGCCCGCCCTAAGTGAAGGCGGGCCTGGCTTTTTGCAAGAGGCCCTCGACTGTCAATTTCATATTTGGGGTCCAGGCAGTTGCGACGCGCCAGTTGGTTGAGCGAAACACAGGCCGAGCAACAAGACATTTCCAACCTCCGGGCCTTTCCAAAGAGTGCAGGCCCTGGGCGTGATTCACAGCCTCATACAGAGACAGTTGGGCGCCCAACCGAACGAGGCCCAGCAGCCCAGTAGCTGCTGTACGCAGGCAGCCTCCTGGGGCCTTCCGGAAGCTTCTGGGCCCAGGCCAGTGCAGCCAGGCTGCGAGAGCAGGCCAACTCTTTCCATAAAGGAAAGAGCTCGGCCCTGGCTGCCGGATTCAGGCACTCGCGTGCTGGCGGCAGCGCTGCTGGAGCTAATGCTCATGGGCTGCTGCTAGCGCTGGGAGGCGAGGTGCAGCACGTGCGGTCGTGCAGAGGAGCAGGTCGCTGCTGACGGCAGCGCCATAGCCCAGCCACCGTAGCTCGTGGGCTTGGACTACAGTGAAGCGCAGGGGTGGTCTTCGGGTGAAAGAGAGGACAGGTGTTGGTGTAGTCAGGGGATAGGTGAAGGGTGATGATGATGATGATGATGTGACGGCACTTACCTTGTATTGGCGATGGTCTGCATGGGCGACATCTTCAAGTACTTCAGGCTGCCGCTGATGTCAACAGTTGCATTGTCTTTTTGTAGTCTGTAGTAGCTGTGTAAGAGTAGGCTGGGCGCTGAGCGCCAAGTGTGAGTGTGAAGGAACTGGACTCTTGTGTTGAGAGGAGAGAGTATGCTCTCCATGGACATTGGTTTTCAGTGCTACGAACCTCCATTGGTGTATTAGTGGTGCAATGCTGCTCTCTGGACACGGTGTGACTATATGGCTTTCAATGTGATGGTGTGATCTGGAATTGTCATCTCACTGTTGCTTATTTTCCTTGCATATACAACATGAATAGACAGTTCTGAGCATGCAAATTGCAAAAAAAAAAAAAAAAAAACTTTTTTTTTTTTCGGTAAAAAGAGTAAATATAGAGTAGAAACTAATTGCAATTCTCTTCAAGAAATAAAATAAATTAAAATGCAATGTAACGAAGCATGAATAGACAGTTGTGAGCACCCAAATTGCAAAAAAAAAAAAAAAAAAAAAAAAAA